AAAAAAAAAAAAAAAAAAAAAAAAAAAACGATGCTCTCTAACCAACTCTAGTTCTGCGCTTGACCTCAACAGAAGTGCCACCAAAGCAGGACGCCTAGTACAAAAAATTCAATTACCACAGCAAAAAACAATCATCAAAGCATCTAAAAATTCAAACAAATAGAACCTCCAATCTTAAAAATACTTCTTTGCTCCAACAGAACTCCAGCTCATGGTTTTTAAGAATACTTTGCCACAGAACAATTATAAAAAATTAGGATTTTTTGCCAAAAAAAAGAACTGTTCCTAAAACTCCAATCTCCTCTCTCGCAATAATAGAAAACAGCTGTTGGTAGCTCCTTGTACTCAAGCTTTGTTATGGGAAGTTAAAATGCTTATTTTGAAAAGGTGACCAAAAAAAGAATTAGCAAATCCAATAAATACAGCTAAAAAAGCAAAAAGCATTAGGTTTCAACAGGAAACAGTGTCATGACCCATCCACTTCTTGTTGATTTCTAAACGAAGTAAGAAAACAATTACGGTGCTTTTTCTCTTCCCATCAAACCTTGTAGGGGAAGAGTTGTCAGCTGTTGACGTACTTGGACGACAATTAGCCTCATGCCAAGCTAATATCGATTCATACCGACACTGCTGAATAGAATCGTAGGCGTCATTTGCCATTTTTGACGTAAAAACGCATATTCCAGGCTAAAAATAATTGATCAACAAGGTAAGCAAACTGAATTGGTGATTATACCAAACATTATTCAGTTACACTCCCCACAGAAACTCATCCCAAATTTACTACTTCATCAAAAAGTGAGTCAAAAGTTTGAAATGCAAAACCCAATAAAGTCGACGTTCTTAAAATAAACTCAAACGCCAAACATTTTGATTAATAAACGACTGTTAAGACGAGTTTTGAAAGAAGCAATACATTGCTAAGTAACTTATATTAAAAAACAACTTATTTTTTCAGGCTTACTTTCCGCTGCCGCTTCTCTGCATTATCAACTGATGATGCATTCATGACTTTTTGTTCATTTGAGGAGATCCCTACACCGCTTTTTCCATCAAAACTTGGCCAAGAATTTGTAACAGGATAACTAGGCGACGGGGTTGGCGTATGGTTCATTGACGCTAAAGAAACCGAGCCAACTGGCTTCATCGAGTTACCACAACGTGGCGAAGAAGTCTGACCCTCTGCCGATGTTGTAACATTATTTGCCATCCCACTTGAACACTGCAGATACGGTGGAGCAAATTCATGTGAAGCATATCTTGGGGGGGGTAAAACACTGCCGCTGTCTATTGACGCCATTGTGAAGCGGTTATCTGAAATTCTTGAAAAAAACAATAATAATCATAATCATAATAACGACAAAACGAGAAATATCAATAAAGTCTTTTTTCAGTAGGATTAATAAAAAAATATACTAGTCAACATTCAAAAAAAGGCAACGAACCACCAAAAACAAAATCGAAGAAGAATTTTACTGTATACAGTCAGAGTAAGATTGATGGCAAAAGAATAACAAAAAACAAAAACGAAATAGGCGATAAGATGCAAAAAACAAGATATAAAAGAAGAAAAAGAAAAATACGATTTATGAGGTAAAGATAGGAAAAAAATAATGATTAAGATGATGACGACGATGGAAGTGATAATGATGATGATGAAAACGATGATCAAGAAGTCGGCTGGATTACCACGCTTCGGTAGATGATGGCGAAAAACACTTTGAGTAATGAAAATAAATGAGTGCCAAAAAAAAGCTCGTCGTCAGATACAGTTAAAAAAAACCAATTAAACTTTTAAATCATAAAGGTTTACCTTGTTAAATCCTGGAACACTTCAAAATTTTGTTAGTAGTAGCAGTTTGGAAGAGACAGAGAAAGAAAGAGAGAGAGAGAGAGAGAGAGAGAGAGAGAA